TGGAATAAAGCACTGTGTTATAAATGAACTGAATTTCCCGAATTTCAGAAGCTGCTAATAAGTGATGGAGAGTCGCAGAAGGTCAGGTGCGAATGGCTCGCGAGATGTCGCGGGCGCCGTCGGCGACGCCTTCCAGCTGGTGGCGCAGGGGCTGGTGCAGCTACAGGAGGCCTTGCGCCAGCAGAAGCAGGAGGCGGAGCGCAGGGTCCAGGAGGCCCTGCATCTGCATAAACAAGAGGCGGAGCGGAAGATCCAGGAGGCTGAGCGGAGGATGCAGGAGGCCCTGCGCCTGCAGGAGCAGAGGGCGGCGGCGGCGCTGCGAGAGATGGAGCGGAAGCTACAAGAGAAGGACGCCGCCATCCGCTCTTTGCAGCAGCGACTCGAAGAGAGATTGACGGCCGTGGAGGAGAGAACGACGGTTCCGGAGGGATCTGGAGGGGAGGGCGGTGTGCTGCGTCTGGAGGGCCGCGTGGAAAAGGTGGAGGCCTCTCTGCAAAGAGCGGTGCAGAAGTTCATGCCCCGCGTTGATGCTCTGTTGCGCCAACTGGAGGAGCCCCAATCAACACGTGCGTCCCTTACCACCGCCTCCATCGCCCGCGAAGCACCGGCGTCGGGAGGGGCAGCAGCGGGCGTTGGGGAGGAGCCCCCCTCCTCCACCTCCTGCCTCTCTCCCTCAGGCGCCGGCCACCAGGGCGCAGCAGCAGAGGAAGAAGACGCGAGGCAGCGGGTGGAGCTCCGGATTCGGGAGGTGCAGTTGAGGGTGGAGGAGGCTCAAACCTCTCCCTCGCCTCTGGGAGAGCAGTTGTGTGACGCGGCAGACTACGGACGACTACGTGACGTACGGCGCCTCACAGACTCTGGTGCGGACGTCAACTACACTGATAGTATCGGGTATACTCCTCTAATTAATGCGGCTATGAAAGAAAGCGTAGAGGTGATGTCGCTGCTTCTGCAACAAGGCGCCGATCCCAACGCTGTCAACAGCAGTGGCGATTCCGCGTTGCACTTCGCTGCGATGAGGGACCGCAGCGGTCGGTGCGTGGAGCTGCTGGTGCGCGCGGGCGCCGACGTCGACGCGAGGGACGGTTGCGGAATGACTCCTCTGCACCGGGCGACGCACCAGAACAATAAGGAATCGGTGCGCGCGCTGCTCGCGGCTGGCGCCAGGAGGGACCTCAAGCCGTGGGACGGCCGTTTCAAACACAAGTCTCCGCTTGAAATTGCGAGGTTTTCTCGTATAAAGGATATCCTGCGACTGTAGCGCCAGGAGTAAAGATGTAGAATTTCTCAGCATTCGGCTGTGCACGGTGACCGATAAAGCGGGGCGTGCGCTGCTCGCGGTCGGCGCTCGAGAGAACCTCAAGCCCTGGGATGGACGTTGGTCACTGCCCTGAGGAAGCCTGCGACATGTCAGGCGAGACGTCGGCCTCCCAGCCAACGACGCGGCGTCTCCCGGATAGCCGAGAATTTATGGATTCGACCCGTGGAAGCTTGCGAGTGCGTTGGAGGAATATGACCCGTTTGACATTGCGTTGTCTTCTAGTTCAAGGGATCTCCTGCGTCATGGAATAAGGATGCGGGACTCCTCAGCACTGTGGTGTGCCCTGTGACTGTGACAAAGCTGTGCGTGCGCTCCTCGCGGCCGGCGCCAGAAACAACCTCGAGACCTGGGATGGCCGTTGGAAGAATCGAACATCATTAAACCTCGCGTAGGATGCTGACGTAATTTGCAATCTTAACATGGCATTAACATGGAGCGAAGAGAATACTGTTAATACATGGTTGCAGCCAAATAACGTATCGTGGTTTTTCTTTTATGGTGAAATGAATTCCGTTGTCACCCAACTAGTATTATGGTTGATTACCAATTGATAGGGAAATATTTCATTCAAACATGTATTTTCTGAAAATTTCAATTCCTGTCTCCAATTTAGTCGTTTTTGCCTTTCTTTCGTACAGAAAAGTAATGTTGTGTCATATCATGCGAATATAATTTTAAATTTTTCGTAAATTTGTTTATATTATTCGTAAACATGGTTTTTATATTAAAAGTTGATAAAATGTCTGTCTAGTCATTTCCCGCATCCCAGTTTCCTTGCCTCTTTATTCTACATGTCTTTTCACTACATTTCTCTTTTTTCCACAGCTTTAGTTATTTCCAATGCCCTTCCCGGTCTTTCCCTATTCATTTTCAAACTTTTTGTGGGCGTTTATCTGATCTCAACCTCCTCAAGCGTCCATGCAATTTCAGTTGTGTCATTTTGATTGTCTCATTCATGGTTTTCTGCACTTTAATTTTATTTTTTATTTCATTATTTCTGAGTTTGTCTAACAGAGAAAGTTTGCAATTTTTTTATTTTTATATAGGTACAGATAGTCATTTTATACTTAACAGAGGTAACGTCAGAAAATGTATTTTTGACAATCACGTTTATATTGATTTTATTTCATTAATTATTAAACATGACGTATCAAAGTAATTTTGTCTCAATGACATACTGTAAAATACATATATCGAAAATTAACATTTATTTTTACAAAAAGCATTTTTCTACAGGTTATTGACAGAAGTTTTTCTGATAATAAAATACATACAATGAACAATTTTAGCCTTAAAGAAGAATATAAATTATCGGTGCGGTCTGCTAGTGGTGTAGTGCAGATATCTTTAGATTCATTACTCGATCCCGAGTAGGTTGTCATAAACGAAAAATGAAATTTCTATCCATGTTAAAATCTATTAAAATTCTGTTATCTTAACATTATTAAAAACCTCTTTAATAAATACCTATTAGTACGGTAAGATTTACTAGGAGTAAGGGTCTTTCCATAGTTCCCTGTACAGGGAGGGAAGTGTTTGAACTCTTGTTAAGAACTTTTCGCACAATGTGTATGAAGAAAATAAATTCTCGGCTCTCCGGGAGACTCCGCGTCGTTGGCTGCGGTGCCGACGTTTCGCTTGACATGTGGCTGGCTTCCTCAGGGCAGTGGGCAGGAATGTTTAAGAGAATTTCTCACGTCTCGTGTTGGTTAAAAACGGATTTTTTTTAAAAAATTGAAAGAAAATTAAATTATTTTCGGGACGTTATTGCAACTAAAATATTAATAACAAAGCATTTGTTTTGAAAACAAGAGATAGAATTATCATTCTATTTACTTCACTTCCTAAAATATCTCAATAAGCAACACTATTTATTCAAAACGAAAAACAGCACAAAAAAAGTAAATAATTTAAAGAAATAGGCAAATAAGTCCTTCAAGCAAAATATGTTAACTTATCATAACGAAAACGTGGTACGATTTGTTATTAGCAGGGTTGGGAAGTATTTATATACTTCTATTTGAAATTCGTCGGCTTCCTGCCCACTGCCCTGAGGAAGCCTGCGACATGTCAGTCTAAACGTTGGCCTCCCAGCCAACGACGCGGCGTCTCCCGGATAGCCGAGAATTAATGGATTCGAGCCTCGGAAGCTTACGTGTTCAAAATGTGTATGAAAAGCGCCACGCGCACGGTGTTGCCGACATGCGCGTTTCCGCCTCCATCCTCTAAAAAGCGCGCGAACATCTGCATTCGGGCCAACTATGGCTTGTTATTTTGCAGAGGAGTTTTTACAATTACAATTTTTCAACATTTAAGAATTAATTCCAGGAAGTACATTGTACTCAAAATACTGTAAATATATAATACTTTTGTATTATATATTTTTATTTTAATATATTATCAATTGTAGTAAATTAGTAACTGAAAGTGATACAATTTTCTTAACTAACTATTGTAATGAATTGTAACAATATGCATAAACATTTTCAAATATAAATTGATATCAAAAATATGTCTAACACAAACAAATGGAAAAATGAAATTACATTTTAAACCACTGATTTTTTAAAATAAATAATCAGACAATAAACCCTTAGTTGGTGAATGTATAAAATTGCAAAAGAAAACAATCATTCAACTGGCGTGGATGAACATGTAAATATGTTTAAAATACGTATTTCAAATATAAGTATTTAAATACTTCCCAACCCTGCTAATAACAAATCGTACCACGTTTTTAATACAAATCTATACTAACACAAATCGTATCACGTACCACGTGATAAGTTAATATATTCGGCTTGGACTTATTTGCCTATTTCTTTAAATTATTTACTTTTTTTTGCTGTTTTTCGTTTTGAATAAATAGTGTTGTTTATTGAGATATTTTAGGAAATGAAGTTAATAGAATGATAATTCTATCTTTTGTTTTCAAAACAAATGCTTTGTTTTTAATATTTTAGTTACAGTAACGCCCCGAAAATAATTTAATTATTTTCAATTTTTAAAGAAATCAGTTTTTAACCAACATGAAACGTGAGAAATTCTCTTAAACATTCTTCAGACTATCCAACAACAAATTTTTATCAAAATCGATAGCGCCATTTTTTTACATTTTGAAAATGTCTCGTGGGCTTCATGTAAAGTGCTCCCCAAAACTGAAATATCGGTTTCAAATTTCAGAGGCCGCGATATCAGCCAGATCGATTGGCTAATAACGATTTTGGAGAAAATCGGCTGACCGGTCTAACCGCTAGTGTTATTCTCAGACGGACGGACAGACAGACTTTTTGACAACATACTATTTTTCGGTATCAATTACTCATAAAACATGGATTCTGGCTACACTACGTGCAGAGTGTTTTATTTTTCTATTCTAAATTTAGCAACTGGCTTTATCCACTTTTTTGTTACCAGGGCCCCATAATAAGAATTTTTTTGCCGAAAATTCGCCGTTTTTTCGCGCAGCTGTACATAACTTTTTTTCTACTCTGTAGCGAAAAAGTAAAAATATACGTCCTGTGTTGTCTACGAATGGATGGATAATCACACATACCCGAATAGCAGCAGTAGTAAAAGCGTAGCAATACTCCGAAGGTTTAAAAATCGCGCGGAATTGTTGCCATCATTGCACACGAAGGAAAGAGGTTGGTACGTTGTGGACAAAAGACGTGGTTTCGCGTAGGAGTGTCGGTCGGATTCATGTCATATGTTGATGTGTTGGCATGTGCTTTTATTTAATGTCGCGTCGTTTTCAGTGAATCATTTTGTTGTTATCTCATTCTTTTGTGTAAATTAAATGGCGTGGTTTGGTGAAAGTTTGTCGTCATTAACTGGACATTTACAAAACTTGACAAAAGAGGTGCTGTCAGAAGCAAGTGATGAATCGAAAGGTAAGTGAACTTAGTAATGTCACTTACTCTCTTTGACAGTTCAAAACATCCCATTCCCAACTCCAGAATTTTTGTCTTAACTGTCACGTCCCTGATTGATAACACTTTTATTCATTTAAGGTATGAATAAATTCGTTAGCACTGTGACATTGCATATCTATATGAAAGTCAGTATGGTCTCTGATGATGTACTTGACGTTATAGGTTATGACAATAAGCAATCACGTAAGTTTTTAATCTGTAACTTTAATGTAATGTAATAACGCCTGTATTTATAGGTGCTACTGGAGATTTGAAAGCTGCAAATGAAAAATTGGAGGAGCTAGAAGCATTATGTACAACTCAAGATTTGGAGGTATGGACAAAAATTAGTTAATTACTTTAATTTCAGGTACATCAAATTTTTAAATAATTGCATTTTTTCAGTGAATCTATTTATTGTCTTTTTGTTTGTCAAGGATACTGTGACACAATGTATTTATTTACGTGCATGTTAGGAATATTTGTGTTTACCTAAAGTATCTCTGTTTTTTATTTCCAGCATTTAGAACTTTATTTCATGTTCCTTAAATTTTTGTCTTTTTATAACACAATGTATATAAGCAATGTTGGTGATCAAATTAGAAATATTGATAGAAGTATTTACAAAGAGGATGGATGTACCTTTGCATGTAATTGTATTATGTAAAATTATTTTATGGTAAAACCTGCATTTCTTGCATAAATTTGATTACACTGATAGCAGGTTATGTTTAGCTACTAAGAGAGTTTATGAAGAGCTTGAAGAATATGTAATGTATGCAATCTTCAAGTTTATATATACTATAAGTTCAGTCAGCATGTTTATGACAATTAGTGAAGAGAATGTAAGTGCGAATTAATGAACAGTAATTTACTGACATTTTATAAAATTTATTTTCAACTTGAGGATTTATGTGTATATCATTGTACATTATTATATTATTATCATCCCATGTATATCATTCATTTTTAAATAGAAGAGCAACATTGTTGTAAGTGATGCTTTTCCTTTTAAACAAAGTTTATTTTTCTTTCATTCTGATTAGTCTATCTCCATTTATATATTAATATTATAAAATTTTCATACCTGTGATAATACTGACATGTAAGAAACACTGACAATTCTATGTATATATGAGTATTAGTTTCATATATTGCCTACAATGAAAAAAAAAAGTTTCATTGTTGTTTTAGTTTTATCCTCATCTCAGTGATAACTGAATTGCTTTTATTAAAGTGAGCTCAAGGTGTTTAACATGATATTGAGAATGGGTCAATAAGATTAGATTAGATTAGATATAATTTTCTTCAGAAAATGTATTTCATGTATGGTAAAGCATGTTCTGTAGGTAAATAACAAAATTTTATATATAAAATAAATTAAATTGTAGAAAAAATAATATAAATGACAATTGATAATTAATATCATGTGTATTGAAGTTAATAGATTTAAAAACAAAATTACCGGAAACCATAATGGATTGTGTTAATACAAAGAGAGCAATATTTAAATACCAAAAATTTGTGTACTCATGTTAGAAAACGTCTTCAAATACATTCATTTGTTCATAGTGTTGTTACATTAGGGCTGGCCTATTTTAAAGGTAATGGGAATTTGAACTCATTGCTGGATGTTGACACTTTTTGTTATGTGGTGGTAGGAAGTCTGCAGGACTTGAAGGTTCAGAGCATTTAGCTGATAAGCTGTTAACTCAATCTGCAGGTACATTACATCCATAGTAGGGATATCCTGCTGCATTTAGCAAATTGTAGACTTGTCATCAATATAATTATGTATGAATTTAATATCTTCTGATGTAAAAAACGCAGACCCTACCCAGGTTCGCCTTGTCTTGCTAAGTGTTTTCATAAAAGATGCTTGGAAGGATTTTCAGCATTTTCATCTCAAACAGTAGGGGATACATTTGTTCACTGTGAATTTGTGTTTACTCAAGATGCCACGTGCCCTATTTGAGCACCGACTTGGTACTGTTTCCTTTCAGATTTCATTCTCCTCATCCACTTAAAAATTAATTCATTGTTTGACTCCTTTTGCTTGTGGCCTGTCTGTTAGCAGGGCTCTTTTGTACTGTTTCAAACTGCTAATTCACACGCTAATTCACACACACTGCCTCACAAGAATTCTTGTGAGGTTAAAGAGCTGACACTGGACTACTATTTTCTTCGCACGATTGTGAGCTTTTTTATTACTTTCTATGCTGAGTGTGTAAATATCCAGATAATGTTAAGTTTCTCCCTTCTAACTCGATATTATGTTTACTCCTGTTTCTCTTATGTTTCAAATCTCCTGTTTCTGTTATATCTGTAAATAAAATGAAAAATATTTATTTATTATATGGACAAATATTTGAGGGGCAAATGTTGTTTTTTACTATTTGGTCTTTTTGTGTCAATTTAATTATATTTAGTCTTTATAATCTTGTTAGAAGAAAGCAAAAGAAAGTTAAGAAATTATTTTCATATATTTGTGCTACTAACGTTTAGAATACTGACTGTTGAATTATTCATTGAAGCAGGTGGTGGGGTTCATGAAAAATAAAGTGGCTTTTTTCGTGGGCTTGTGTAAACTGAGATATTTGAGTCTTGGGTGATGCCAATTTATATTATATGAGATCTGCTTCATTCTCTAGGATAATAACCTCTTCTGTACTCCTTCCATCTCTTTCTTAGATCAGGTTTTTGTCCTGTTTCCCTGATCCATTGAGCAAATGCTGAGATGGCCCCTTGTTTTGTTTCTGGACGTAAATGTAGCTTCACTATGCGCACGTTTTGTTGATCCTTCCTTTTGCTTGTAATAGTAAGAGTAGAGGTAAGCGCGAGTTGCTATTTTGTTAGCAAAGAAGAAAAAACGTACTTGCAATTCGTGTTCCGATGCAAATAAGTCTTCTATAACTCAGAAACAAAAATGTCTATTTTTGAAATATTGCTAATCTTGTGATTTTTAATTTTTTTAAATTTATTTATGTTAAACTTTTACACATCTTTCAACTATTAATAGTTAAAATGACGGGAAGGGATTCTGGAACTCAAGAATACGTGCTAGATACATGTAGATAATATTTCGCGCCCCCCCCCCCAGTCACATACAGTTTTTACTGTTTTTTTGACTGAATAAATCTAAATCGTAGGTAACCTGGACCACATCTTTTTCAAGCAACACTATCTTTTCATGCTGTGACAATTCTGTCTGGAGCCATACTCAGTGGTTCTATTTTTCAGTTTGCTCTTTTACCTTTGACCACTGGTTTGAATGTAACACAGTTTTCTAATTTCCAAGAACTTTATATTATTCTTTATATTTATCCAATAAATTTTTGGGGAGTGACCAATTTCTTTATTTTAAAATTTTATTTTGTTCTAGACATGCTTGCTCTAGTTTCTGTTGTATGAGTACTATAGAACAGATAGCTGCTTCATATAGAGATATAGAGAGAGCGAATTGGTAGTTCTTTCCAGAGCGGGTCATTCAAACCGTCAGGCGGGGATGAATTGAAGGGTAGATGAGTGAAATGACCATTTTCGCTTCCACAACACCATCTGAATGACTCCTCAGAATTCTCTCAGAATTGTTTTGTTGTCGAATTTCATTTATTTGAATTTTTCATTTGAACATTTCACAGTGAGGAAATTATAATTGCTGCACCTAATAACTTAACATGGATTATTATCATCATCTCAAGTTCATATTCCCATCAAGGGAAAATTAATACTTTATCAGCTGGGTACATCAAACTCTGTAGAGGGGGACAGTCCCCACGTCAGTTTGAACCCTTTATATACATTAAAATTCGTATCTATATCTAGAAACTTTATTTCTCCAAATAATTTCATTTTGGTATTCTGATAGTCATGCTGCTTTTTCTGCTTGCTGTGCTTCAGAGTATAAATAGCCAAAGCTGGCTGGCCATCCATAAATTCTGTAACCCAAATTTTGAGTATTTTGAATATCCTCTCGTAACACTCCCAAAAGACGTGCTTGAACCCTCATAATTAACTGGGGACTTGATGTAAAATGTAATGCTAGTGACAACACTCCTCTCCCATTTACAAAAAGTGAAAGTAAATTATATGACAGCAAAAACAATTTGTATTAATATAATTGTCACCACCCTGACACCCTTTTTGAATGCAATTATGCTTGGAGATATGTTCCACAACAGTAAAGAAATCCAAGTTGTGACCATGTTTCTGAGTAACGTGTAAGAAATTTAATTATTAATGTATGTTTGCAAATGTATTTTAATAATTACATTTGTTCAGAGATTTGGTGACCCTGACAAGGATCGGAATCTGGGTCTCCTGGTTTACACCCAGTTTATATGTCACCATCCTGTCACTTCTTTGGACATAATTACACTTGGATATGTGTTCTGCAACAGTAAATAAATCCAAGTTGAGATCGTGTTGCTCAGTAACAAATGTATTTTTATAAAAAAAATGGTTCAAAGAATTGGTCACCACGACCGGGATTCGAACCCAGGTCTCCTGGTTTCCATTACTTTTATTTCCATTGTTTTATTGTATTGTGTGAAGGAAGGGCATTCAGACTTGAAAATTTCTGGCTACAAGCCATGCACACTTCATTGTGGATGACATGTGGGCACTAATTTAATTGGAATCTAGAGTATATAGATCAGAGGTATAGATAAGTTTTGAATATTTTCTTAGTAATCTTACGGATTCAATTCATAATGAAAAAATACTTCCATTTTTTGTAACAATTTGCGCATAGTCACTTTAATTTTTTAAATATTTTTTAAGAAATAATTAGTTGATATTTTAGTGTTTTGGTATAAGACAAAAAAAGTAATTGTTTCAGTGTTTCAGCAAAAGTTAAAAATTAAATATATATCAATATCAATGTTACGTAACACTTCACTAACACTCACTACTCCAAGTAACGCATGATAACACTGCCTCACATCCATTTACTTCCTTTAGATGTAATATCTAGATTACCCATCATAAATTTCATTCCAATGTAAATTGCACTTTGGAATACATGAATCCAATTAATTATTTGTTCTACCACTCTTCTTTTTTCTTGTTTTGTCAATTTACAGTTTACGGTACCAATTACATTGCTTTAGTTTCTAGCTCTTTGGTAAATATTTTGTCGTTTATACTTGTTATCTTCCTGTGGAACAAATCATCAACATAACATATCATTTATTTCATTATTCTTCACCCTATATCCTGGAATTATTTTTACGTCGTTAATATCATGTGGCACAACATTACAAAGAAATAGGTTTAGATAGTTTCCTTGTGAAATTACTTTGGTTATTTCCTTACTCATTTTATAATATTCAGTTCATCCACTAATTCTATACTGCCAAAGATCTTTTCTATGTCAATGAAACAAAAAAGCAATATATTAAGCCTTGTTAACCAGTCTTAATATAAAGATAGCATATATGCATGATCTTCCTTTCCTAAAGCCTAGTTGCTCATTGCATAGGGGTTTACTTAAATTAATTTTTGTAGTACATGTGGTTGTGTAGTCATTTTAAGGGCAGACTTCAGGAGGTTAATTCCTCAGTACTTTTCATTTATTTGTTTGTTCACTCCTTTTCAGACCAAGGATATTGTTTTTTCTTTTCTCTGATATTTAACTTTTCTGGAAAATAATACTCTTCTTTTCTACTAACTTGTCTTTCAAGTCGTCACCTCCACACTTAAGCACTTAGGCTTAGAGATTTTGACTTTTTGTTTCTTTGAAGACAATGTCAACTTCATCTCTTTGAATTTCTACAATAATTTTGATATTTACTGATTCTACCCATATTTGGTGTTCATAATTTCTTTATTTGTATACTCAGTTGTTCATGACTACTTTCCATGGTCCTAAATATTGTAGAGAAATCGCTAACCCATTCATTTCCTCTAATGAATTTTGTTGTTATAAGTTTGTTTTTGTCTTGGTGTTGTCAAAGGAGAAGTTTCTATAATTATTTTCATGACCTGTGGAAATCTCTCTAGCCTTCTTTAAAATGATTCCCAGAAATCCTTTATTTGTTTGTCTTATCTTACTGTTAACCATATTCGTCTAATTTTTGTATCTTGAACATGTCTCATTCATTCTTTTCTTAATAAAATATTTTCTTTTTCTTTCAACAAGTTCTTTCACGTCTTCTCATAATCAAAGAGTTTTATTCTTCCAAAATAATTTTGCTATAACTATTTACAGTACTCTCAGTGATTCTTGAGTACTCTGAACCTTGCTTGATTTCTTCCCTTTCCATTTATTTTCCGTGTGTGTGTGGGGGTGGGGGTGAGTGCGTGGGTGTGGGTGTGTGAGGGTGTGTGCCAGGGATGCAGTTTATGTACCTTATTTGTGATTTCTACTCATTGAAATGTTCAAAAGAAGGAAATTGTTTAAGAAAACATTTCTGAAAGTCTTTACTTAGGATTCTTTCTGATTGTTGTGAAAGCAAAGACAGCTTTCACTCTTTTGATTTGTCCACTCTTTGAGTTTTGAATGTGTCGATCTGGAGAAAACTTCCAATTTACACCCTGTGTTATGTTATCTGCTTTGTGAGTTTTTCTTCAAATTGGTTGTGTACCTTTTGCATATTAGGGCCATATGCCTTGCACATTGACTTACCTATCCTTGTTAGTAATATCTTTAGCCTATTGTGAGATAATTTCCCAAATATTTTAATATTTTTTGTAAATGATGTTACGGATGGATTTGTGATTAGATCAGACTGAATATGCTTTAATATGGATCATCCCCATTTGTGAAGAGTGCAAATTGCTTTCAGTGTGAATTACATCTGCATTTACTGTATTGGGCAGAATTTAAACTTTGAATAAATATTTAGAATTTGATAAACTTCCAAAGACCCAGTAGTTCATTTGTTTTAAGCAAAACATTTATGTTATTGCTTTGATAAACATGAAGCATTGGACATTGAAACAAAAAAAAGTTCATTTTCTTATGAAATGGAGACTAGTGAAGTGTAGCCATTATAGGTCCCTAATTCAAGCAGTTTAACAAAGATAATTTTGCAAGAGATTTTTTTTTTTTCGAAGAAAATCCTGTATCAAAGATCAGCAATCATCCTAGGATAACATTCAAACGTCAAATAGATCATTAAGAAAGCACTAATTGAATTAAATTTGAATTTGAATTAATGCCTTATTTGACGTGGCGAGACTCGGGGCATCAGGCCCGCTCTTCCGTCTGTCCACGCATATTTCGCTACGCTCCTTTCACCAACTAGCAGAGAAAGGAGGTACTTCTTGGGCGAGAAACAGGCGATT